TCGCCCATAGTTGAGACCGTAGATGTCTCTTTTCTCAGAAAGCTGAAACTCGTGTGTGTTGAGCCTCTCAAGTATGTCAGACGGATCGAGTGTTTTGAAGTCAGGACGTTCTTGAATCATCAGGGCTAAGGTGTCAAACGAGCTGTCAAGTGATCTCAGGAGTGTCTTGACAACTTCATGCTTGGTGATCTCAGTGGCGCCGAGGGCTTGAAGCTCATTTGTGATGTCAGTGAGTCGATCAAACGTGAGCTGAACATTCTCATTGTCATTTCTCTTGAAGCGGTTGAAGAGGTTGCGAAGGACACTGATTCTCTGATCTCTCTGGGTTGAGACGCCTTCGTTGACCTTGGAGAGCCAGTCCCAGACTAGCTTAGATGTTTCCAAAGCACTCACACGGCCATATTGTCCTTTGGTCAGATGACCACAGATGATGTTCTTGGCAGTGGAGTCCAGTTGAATGAACTTCTTGACATCAGCAGCGGTGACACCTTCACCAGCCTTGGGAACGCCATTCTTGATGACATACCATAGGTCGACATCAATGGCTTCAAGATGCATGCGCATCTTATTCTTTCAGTAGGGATATTCAGTTCCATCAAAGACTGGGCACGCATCGGAGACTTTGATTATCCCTGCAGTCAATATAGCTAAAACTCCAGGTGGTTAAACCGAATCACACAGAACAAGGGAGTACCTAGCTCTGATACCAATTGAAAGTGCTAGTGATCGACTAGAGGGGAGTGAATAGGCGATTTTTTATAAAAGTCTTCAAAACATGGAAGTTTCGAAGACAAATGATAGAAATAAACCTATTACCATGCAGCAGAAGGTAGACTACACTAGGCAAACCAGAGTCAAGTATTCAATGGAGTGAAAGCACAATGACTAATAGCAGCTAGGCAGTAAAGATCAGGTAGGAAGATATTGTGAAGCAAATCAGAACAAGCAGTCACTCAGTGAAGACAAAAGATAAAGCAATCATACAATGACTTCACAAGGACCAACAGTAAGTAAAGGGAAGGGAAGGATGAAACCAGTGACTCGTTGAAGACAATGATTTGTTGGACCACTTTCATTTGCTGTGACAACTGTACGTCTGATTAGGGAGGCTGAGATTCAACTCAGAAGACCTCGTCTTCACCTTATTCCCCTTGAGCTAAGGACACCCAGTCCTTGCCCAATCACTCTGATAAGTCTTCAAGGTAGACTTCCAAACCTTCACAGACTTCGTTCATCGGCGATCCACAATGACTCTTGGATGCTCAGAACGCGATGCCTAACCGGCTGGAGAATTCACAGTCCTCAAGTGTAATAAGTCTTCAGATCACACAGACAGGAAGACTTTAGTGATGCCTAACACTCTTTTGCTCTGGGTGTTTAGGGCTTTATCCTTGCAAGGAATTCTCTCTCAAAGGCTTCGAGGTGGGTTGCTCTCAAACGACAAAAGCCATGTACTAACTCTGAGCAGCCAACCGTTTATGGTTGTAGGGGGTGGGCTATTTATAGCCACTAGGCAACCCGACCTGATTTGTCTGAAATTACCCTAGGTCACTAAGGAACTGACACGTGTTCCAACGGTCAGATTTCAAACACACACGGCAACTTTACTTGAGCTACAAGCAAAGCTGACTTATCCAACTCTGGACAAGATTTGCTCTCATAGTCTTCACTCGAAGACATAGGATTTTGGTTAAGCATCACTTCAGTCATTCTGACTGGTTCACTTGGACCCCACTTAACAGTACGGTGGTTCCTATGACTCAACAAAAAAGAAAAAGAACGACGAAAGAACTAAGTCTTCGCGCTCCATAGTCTTCATGCGATGTCTTCTCTTGTCATAGTCTTCAATGTGAATGTCTTCATATACCACCTTTGACTTCAATGTCTTCTTACATTTTTAGGGGTCATCTCTGGTAGGAAAACCGAATCAATGAGGGACTTCTACCTGTGTTACCCTGCAATTCTCACAAACACATTAGTCCCTCAACTAGGTTTGTCGTCAATACTACAAAACCAACTAGGGGTGGCACTAGATGCACTTACACTCTTCTTCTTTTCGGTTTTGTCTTTCTTGCACCCATCCGGTCGCTTTGGCTTCGATTATGAAACCGAGTTGGGTGTGGGGCTTCTCTTGCCGTCATCACTTGATGCGTCATCCTCCTCCTCATCATCATCCAACTTAATTATTCGCTTCCGTTTGTCGCTCAAATGCAAATCATCCAAATCTTCACGCTTCTTCCATTTCTCATCATCCTTCAACACTTCATAGCAATGAGGCAAAGTAAATACCCTTCCTTTCTTGATCTTCCCCTTCTTGGTTTTCCTCTCCTCTTCTTTGAACAAATTTTGTGCAATGTTGTACTACATGAAAACAAAGCAAGTTAGCACCAACAACAAGCAAAACAAAGCAAGTTAACACCAACATGTAAGATGAAATGGCACTTACTCTATCGTCCTCATTTGTGCCACTTGGGTTCAACTTGTCAACCGCCTTTTGACAGGCCGCCCACCTTTGACAATCCGAGTTGATTGTCGACTACCGGGACCTAAGTGATCGGTTGGAGCGGTCAATTCCACTCACGTTGCGAGCATCAAAGTGTTCCTTCATCCGGTTCCAATAAGCATCTCTACTTTGATCACCTCCAACGGATGGATCCCTCGACACTTGCAACCAAGTATTGCATAGTAAGATGTCATCGGCGTTGGTGTAATTGTCCGCTCTTCCTTTCGGTGCGTCGACAATGCCCTCACCCTCCTCGTCCACCTCGAACTCATGGTCTTCAAAATGCATGCCATTGGTTTGAGACCAATGCGAATTGTTGGAGCCAACACCCATCGTTGACATGTATGCATCATCATTGAGACTACAATTTTTTTTGCACAATACAAATAAGCTATCTATATGTGACGAATGCATTCTAAAAATAACAAAAAATGAAAAGTTAGAATTTTTTTACCTTGGAGGCATTTCGTCGAACATGTTGTGCGCGCCGGCCGCCGGCTCAACGAGTAAGCTTGCCGGCGCTTCGACAGCCGCCGCGCCCGTCGCACGCCCCGTAAGCTTCTTCCTCCTCGCCTTGGAGGTGACGGAGCCGTCCGCCGCCTTGTTTTTCTTCGCCGATGTCTTGCTCTTCTTTGGCCGCGCCGCATTGGGGAGCTTTGAGGAGGAGGGGGCGGCGGCTCGGGCCGGCGCCAGCGCGACGCCGCCCGCCGCCGAGGTCATCCACGGCGACATGAAGAGGCCGCGCGCGAGGCCGCTGGTCGGAGGAGCTCCGGCGGAGGCGAGGCCAACGCCACCCGGGCTAGGGTTTGTGGCGGCGGCGGCGGGGGGTCGCGGCTATAGGATGGGGTGAGCGGGGTGCCGACGCGTGCGTCCATGGGTGTGGGTCGCCGGCGCCGGCGCGCGCGGGGCTTTGGAGGGGGAGAAGAAGAGCGCATCGCGAGCGTCGAGCGTCGAATGGCCGGAAAGTCGGGCCCATAGACGCCCTGCGACATACCGGCAAAGTAGTGCGACTGAAGGAGCGCCATGGAAGGGAGCACGAAGGAGACGTTGTTCACGGCTGCCACGAACCGCGTTTCGTTGATGGGCCCTTGGCACGCCGTGTCCATGGGGCACGGGAACGTGCCCATGCCGACCGTGAAGAAGAACTTCTGGTCAACCGACCGTGGCACGGCCGCCGGGTACTGCGGCGTGGCAAGGCTGCGGAGCTTGGAGGCGAAGTTGGCGACAAAGCCGGTGTCGTTGAACCGCGGGAGCGTCGGCTTGAACAGTGGCAAGTCTTCGTCAGAGCTTGGCGCGGAGGGGGAGCCCGGATTCTGGTACTCGAGAATACCAGCAGCGGTGGTGTTGTTGATGGTGCTAGGCCTTAGGGGGTCCCTAGGATTTTGGTACCCTAGGTAGAAGGCGGCCAACGTGTAGAAGTTGGCCTTAGGGTACAACGGCTTGGTGGTGAGGAGGACATTGGCGGTCTGGCCCGGTGAGATGATCAGAGTCTTGACTGTGAAAGGCTTGACATAAACGGCATCGACCTCGACGATGGTTAGTGTGTGATTGGGGACGGAGAAGAAGAACTCGTCGTCGAGCGCGGCATTGATGAGGCGCAGCATGTACGTTTCCCGGGTTCCACCTTCAGTCTGAAAGTGTCTGCGTGTGTCATCATGTACGCCATCTCTATATTAGTTTGCACGTTTTACAAATCCATGACATTGGCTTGGCAGAATAGAAAGCATGCTTAATCTAGCCCAGTTAAGGTGTAGGGTCATTAAGATCTGCTAGTAGATTACTTCTTATTACCATATGTCATGTCATTGCATTTAAAAACTGAAAGAGAGCGTGCATGGCAGTTTTGTTTCAAGTCAAAATTTGATCAAGTTTGTGGAAAAATCTGTCAACATCTACAATGCCAAATCAAGACCATTAGATTCATCATGAAATACATTTTTATGTCATGTCTATTTGGTATTTTAAATATTTATATTTTTTCTACAAACTTAATAAAACTTGACCTAGGAAAATTCTATATGTAGGTGGACTTTTGGTCTATGGGTGTATATACACCCTATATGGCAAAAATATTTAGTAATTAAATAAAAAGTCAAAAATTCTGAAAATATTTTTAAATAAAATTGACCTTCAATTGTACTTGTAAAAAAGTTTTCCACAAAAAGTAAAACCCCCCGTTGACTTCTTTTAGAAAAAAACAAAAAAATTGAGCAAAATAGTGTGAATGGTGACCCTACAATAGCAATAATTTTTGATATTTTTCCCCTGAAGTCAACGTTTGTTTGTTCGTGAAAGTTTACACACTGGTGCGAAGGAAAGTCAAGTTTATTCTAAAAATAACTTCTAACTTTTTTGACTTTTATTTTATTTATTATTTTTCCCACATATGTGGTGTATATACACCCAGGAACCAAATGGTATTACCCAAATCTATATGCACTATATTATTTTAGTAACAAAAAGGTAACACTTTTTCCTCCTATTTTGAGGCACTTGATTAACCAACCACAAAGCATGTACCTTTGGCGGAGCAGTTGTACAGTGGCCCAGGAAGCCCATTTATCGTAAAACCGTCGGAGACATTCGGGGGTCCGCCCGTCTGGAGCGCCTGGCTGAGCACCGCCTCCGTGTCCGCCCTCCACCATTCACCGAAGATGACCGGAACCTCCATGTGCGGCGTGGCGAACGGGTAAGGCACGCCGTGCTTGGGAAGGACGACGATGACGCCATAGACGGTGGCACGAAATGTGCGCGTGCCACCACAGCGTGCCACGCTGCCCGGAGAAGGTGAAGTTGACGCCATAGACGACGATAGACGACGATGACGACGCCATAGACGACGATGACCCAGCCGTTTCGCAGCTGCCGGACGCCGTGCCAGTGCAGCGTCATGTTGTGCGCGCGCGACATGGTTGGTGACGCGGACAACGACGCGGCCGCCTTCCCTCGCCACGAGCGCCGGGCCGGGGTACTCCCCGTTCACCGTTACGATGCTCTTGGTGGCGCACAGCCTCGTCACGTTGGCCATTTGCACCTGCATATGCCGGGGTTAAGGTTTGGAAGAAGACGCATGAGCATGACGTGAGAAAGCAAGATAGCTTACGGCCGGAAACGCATGCGTAAATCTGTGGCACACATACATTGAAATTGTAGTGCCTGGTGAAGCTTTGCGCCTGGACAATGAGCAGCATCAAGGTTGCCATGAGGAGAGAGCAAGGAGCTTGAACACCGGAGGAGATAACCATGGCCATAGCTTTTAGCTAGGTTTCTGAGCTTCTGATTTTTTCCTTTTTGATAAGGAAAATCTGGGGTCTATCTCGAGCTAGTTCGTGGAGGGTACGATCCAGGTGATGGAGGGTGGAATGAATGTTGAGACAGCCAGACAGGCACTTGGGGTGAGTTTATATATTATCTGCTGGAGGTCCCAAACGTACGTAACACGTACTGGCCGGGCCATTTGCCTTGCCTTGTTTGAGATACTCCCTTCCTCCTTTTTTCACTCCATGTATAAAATTTATTTTCTTTACAAAGTTTGACTTTGGACAACTTATATATGCAGACTAAAAGGAAACGTCACATGGCAGATACGCAGCTTAGGCGGTAACCTTCGTTCGTGATCCATTTGTTGGATGAACTATATATATGTTAGCTTTATCTTGATTACTACTTGTATTTGCATATTTGTTTGTTTTTTGAAACAAGGTAAAAGATTTGGCATTTCATTAATTAAGAGAGAATTGTAACAAGGTCCGAGGACCACAGCCAATCAATGGCCGTACAAATGCGAAGAAAACAATTAGTCGCGATGTAAAATTACTACCAGCCCTTTGGCACCTGCCAAAGCCCACAACGTCGCCTCATCATGATTTTTTCCATAAGAATCATCCAAGGCGCAGAGACGTTTCGAAAGATCCTAGCGTTCCTCTCCTTCTAAAGTTTCCAAGAGCATAAGGAGGTAGGCGGGGCGAGATGTTAACTGCCGTATGATGTGGCGTGCAACGGTGCAAGGTGTGATGTCGTGGTGTTGTGCGATGCAGCACTGCCGACGGCAAGCAAGCGCATGATGGATCAAGCGGCTGGACAAATTAGTAGAGAAAAATCGGTAAGTCAGTTAGTTTGTTAGTGCTAGACATAGGCGTGCAGCCGTGCATGTAGATAGAAAATTATTAGTTGCATGCAACATCCATACACAAGTTTATTGGTAGTGGCCGGTCAAGTTCTGGAGTGATTCTAGCTAGGACGTCATGGACGTGTTAGTGCTATCATCTACAATGTTGACCCACATATTTGCTTCGGCATTCATTCACAAACAGGGAGATCAGTACGTGAGCACGGATGCGAAAACCGGCCATCCAATGCTGTGAAATACCGTTTCAACTAACCGGACGAAATCTATGCAAACACAGCGAATTTTCATATAAACCGGATGAGCTTCATGCAAATAGTGGATTTTCACATTTCAAACATTTAGGGGAAAAACTAACCCTAAACTATCCTACGGCGGCGGCTATCGTCCACTTCCTTTGTATTTCGCATCAGCGACCACGTCCTTCATCTGCCATCTCCATGATAACAGTGGCGGGGATTTAACACCAGAGAAGTGGAGTTGCAGTCTCCGGCGAGGAAGAGTAGAACATGGGAGACGGACCGGCCCATTTGGGACACAATGCCCTGCCACCTCCTATGCCCTACTCATCCTCAAAGGGTCCGCGACCTGTATATCGCCTGTGCCGGTGGACGTGAGGTCAATGATGAACATAGGCGGTCTGTCGCTGTTCACCTACCACGTCCGCCCTTGAAAGTTGGACGGCAGCGCGCAGGACGCATAGCCGGCGGCCGTGTCCGTGTCCTGCTGTGTCGGCTCTGTGTTGCGAGCAATGCGTTGAGCATGCGTGGCCTCGTACAGCGCCTGCTGCTCTGCAACTAAGTTCAGGTTCGCTGCGGCCATGGCGGCCACGACTGCCTTGCTTGCGCGCTTGTCGTATATTTGGCCCTCCGCAAGCCGGTGTTGCTTGAGGAGGAACATGTTCTACCTCTGTTCCTCCTGCGTCTGTCGGAACACCGACATATGCGCCGGCTCCTCCTCCGCTATGACGTCGTCGTAGTGCGCTTGTGCCTGCTCCATGGCCAGGCGCCATATCGTCGTCGAAGCCCGTAGGGTCATTGTCGGAGACCTCGGTCGAGCTGGCTGCAAGAGCAGCCACCTTGTGCTTCATCTCCGAGGACAGACTATCCCCCAGAGCATTCCCGCTCGCGTCATGGCGGATGTGGAGCAAAGAAAGAAGATGTGGAGCAGATGTGTTGTACTATAGAGTTAGCCGGGTGTGGCCACCTTTAAATAGCGGATTCCGGTGAAGCCAAGCGCCCGGGTTCGTCAATGAGCGGCGCCAGAGTTGGTTCCTAGGCCGATGAGCCTGCTTAATGGCGACATACGGACGATCGAACATTAAACGGGCGTCATAGAAATCCGTCCCGTCTCGTACAGCAAATACCGCTCGGACATTGAACAACCACACGGAGATCGGGGATGCGGCGTGGGCGGCTCTCTCGGCCGGTGCGACGCTTCAATAATGGCGCCGGTGAGAAGTCGTGTCCGCTCTGCGTCGGCGTCATTGCGGAGCGGCACAGGTGGCGCCAGGTGAAAACACACGCGGACGAGGAGAAGGGTTTTTGGTGGGCCCGGGTGATCAGACACGGGCGTGGCAACAGTCCGGTCTGTCCGGACGTCCGCAAAGCCCCTCTAGTTTGTCTCCGGTTTACGAAAAAAGAAAACATCCGGACCGCCGGCCGGAGGTCTACGTTGGATGACACAACACGTTGAGGGATCTGCGCGTTGGCGATGCTCTTAGTCCATAGCATTAGTGGCGTGTGCATTCGATCGATTATTCGAGTACCTCTAGTTCTTTTTTTTTTTTTTGAGGATCGAGTACCTCTAGTTTAATTTGCATGCCTGATGCGCGGGCTGGACACGAGCCGGCTCGGTCAGGTTTCGGTCCAGCCTTTGGGTTGGCCGCGTGCGTGAGTGCCGGTGGCTGGTGAGTGTGTGCAATATCAGAAAGATGAGTTGATGGATTGTGAGTGATGGTTGGTGGGGATTTCTTTTAATTTCAACGAGGAGCTGATTGACACTGCACACACTAGAGTGAGAAACAACGCACGATCAGTAGATTAGATGGGTGTTTGTGCGCGAGCCAGATAGGGAGGCGACGTTGTTTCTCACTGTAGATAGAGAGGAATAATTGCAGATCCTTTTTTGTTTGTTGTTGTTGTTGTTGTGCGGGGAATAATTTCAGATCTACTACTCGAGATAGATAGATAGATCATGGAATAATTAAAGCACAAGCACATCAGATCCTGACCTGACCTGATGGCAGTGCCCTTGCTTTCGGTTCCAGCGGGTGAACAAGTGGCCGCGAGACCATACCGGCCACTGTTGGAGATAATTTTTTTTGATAAACCTGTTGGAGATATATTTAAGTTCATGTATTTGGTAGTTAGGTTTTTGTAATAATTCGTTTTCCATCTTATCTTTAGGAGAGACTTCTGTCCTTCAATTATGTACTATTATATATATGGATGTAGCTAGCAGGTGTCCGAGCGCCCGTTGATGGGATTGAGCGCTCTTTCAAATATGAAAAGAGCTGCTGGCGCGCCCGATGAAGCCCACCAAATAAGGAATCTTGTCCCATGTGTATTTATTCGGAGGTCCAAAAAGTTTAAAAGGCTATAACTTTTGATTTAAGCATCGGAATCTGATTTCGCTTTCATAGCTGGGTTTCTCGCGACGAGTTCTTCAAAACTAGATCTCATATAGATAGGTTTCATCAAACTTCTTTTCGAGGCAACTTTGGGTACGATAGAGGCAACTTTAGTGCTATAGGAAAGCAACTTCATTTTTTTGCCTAGTAAGACTATCTATTATTTTGGTTTGTGTAAAAATGAGAAAATCACACAAAAATACGAGGCACCTTTAGTGCTACATACAAGTAACTTCATTGCACTATGTGTATCAATAAATTTTGTTAAAATTATCACAACTGGCCTACCATGGTTGCTCAGTTGCCTACCATGGATATTCAGTTGCCTATCAGTGATGCCCAGTTGCCTACAATACTACGAACATTGATGTCCAGTTGCCTACAATACTGTGAACATTGATGTCCAGTTACCTGCTGATACGTCTCCAATGTATCTATAATTTATGAAGTATTCATGCTATTATATTATCAACCTTGGATGTTTTATATGCATTTATATGCTATTTTATATGATTTTTGGGACTAACCTATTAACCTAGTGCCCAGTGCCAGTTTTTATTTTTTCCTTGTTTTTGAGTTTTATAGAAAAGGAATATCAAACGGAATCCAATTGACGTGCCAATTTTTGACGGTTTTATGGACCAAAAGAAGACCCCGGAGTAAAAGAGTTGGGCCAGGAGAGTCTCGGGGCGTCCACGAGGGTGGGGGGCGCGCCCACCCCACCAGGCGTGTGGTCCTGCCTCGTGGACGCCTCGGGCACCTCCTTGACGTGAGACCGACGCCAAAAATTCCTATAAATACAAAAACCTCGGAAAATTAACCTAGATCGGGAGTTCCGCCGCCAGAAGCCTCCGTAGCCACCGAAAACCAATCTAGGCCCTCTCTGGCACCCTGCCGGAGGGGGCCGTCATCACCGGAGGGCATGGAGGAGGATCCTAGAGGGGCCATCATCACCATGAAGGCCAAGGACCAGAGGGATAACCTCTCCCCATCTAGGGGGGAGGCCATGGTGTTGGGGATCGTAGCAGAAATTTAAAATTTTCTACGCATCACCAAGATCAATTTATGGAGTAATCTAGCAACGAGGGGAAGGAGAGTGCATCTACATACCCTTGTAGATCGCTAAGCGGAAGCGTTCAAGTGAACGGGGTTGATGGAGTCGTACTCGTCGTGATCCAAATCACCGATGATCCTAGCGCCGAACGAACGGCACCTCCGCATTCAACACACGTACGGAACGGAGACGTCTCCCACGCCTTGATCCAGCAAGGGGAGAAGGAGAGGTTGGGGAAGACTTCATCCAGCAGCAGCACGACGGCGTGGTGGTGGGGAGGAGCGCGGAACTCCAGCAGGGCTTCGCCAAGCACCACGAGAGATGAGAAGGGAGAGAGGTAGGGCTGCGCCAACAGGGAAGAACTTCATGTGTTGGGCTGCCCCTTTGCCTCCACTATATATAGGGGGAGAGGGAGGGCTGCGCCCCACCTAGGGTTTCC